AATCATGAGATTCTTGTCAGTGGACGGGGTAGTCTGACAGGGACTTATGCTGCGACGTTTGTTCAAGAAGACCGCCGCCTGGCGAGCGCGTTCGTTCTGTGCATCAAAGTTGCTACACAGGTAGAGAACATTGAGTACATTGAGTAATAGTAATTAAAAAAAAACAAAAGATGACGCGGCAACTTACATTGGCAACTTTTGCACATCCTTGCTGGCGCTCGGCTCTACGATGGCCACATAGACATTATCGGGTCCATAGCTTTCATAAACAATCGGCTTGAGTTTGTCATCGCGCGCCTCTTTGTAGTTGTTGGCATGCAGTGCCACCAAGTCTGCCTTCTGCTCCTTTACGGCAATCAAACAATCATTCTCCTGCACGCATTCCAATTCGGGACGTATGTCACGCGAGTAGGCTGCACGACGCATCGTATCGCATTTGGCCAACTCAATGTCGGTTTGCACGCAGAGACGCATCTTTCGAATGGCGCTGCCGTCACGTTCGATGACATCCTTGTAGCCGGCGCGTTCCAGGTACACTTTTGGTTCGACGGCCTCTGGCTTGCTGTGGTACACAGCATTTTCATTAATGAGCAAATGTTCTGCTGCCAGCTTGTTCTCAGCATGTAAGCCATTTTCGAAGAATTTCTCTAAACGATTTTGTAAGTTGTGTAATTTCTGCTCGCCATTTACTGAATCAGCGTTTGAGATGTAGCCAGTCCATGGCCGTTGAGCCCAAGAGCAAGCCGGGCCGGTGACTGGGCGACGGCTGCCATCCTCGCAGAGATATTCGAACTCGGAGGGGTCACCTTCGGCAATGGAACCCGGTGTGAGCTGAAAAGGGATTAATAATGAGATAGAATGTGTCTATATGTGTGCTTGCATTTAGTTTTAAACACTTACGCCAAAGTATTTCTTGATGTATTGCACCTTGGTGAAGGCTACCTCACCCTTGCCTTTGTCCAAGCAACGAATTGCGCCATCATAACCAGAGAACTTGTCAGGGTAGTTGCACTGCTCGGGTTTTTCGCATAGTTCGCATAAGTTGGAGTATTTCTTTTCTGTGGTTTGAGTGGTATGAGTATTAAAATTTGTAAGGCAATGAGAGTTATTTAAAAGCGAGTAACTCACTCAGCAGACGGTCAGTTTCAGGATATGGCGAGTAGGAGCCAACCAGGCAGGATTGTGTAAAGAATTCAGACAAAGCCTTCAACTCACGTTCGGTGGCGGTCACATCGGGATCCAAAGAAACTTTCAAAATGTGTGTATTCTTCAACTTGGTGATGGGAATCTAAAAAAAAACGGGTGAGGAGCGTGTGTGTGAGGAAAAATCCAAAGCGAAAACAAAAATAAAAAAAATCACTAGCAAATGCATTCAGCTATAAAGCTTAACTAACTCATGACTTTGCTAATTAACTACTAGCAATAGTTAAACTAGTATTTCGCCTAGAACGAAAAAAAAATGCCCTGGCATAGTCACGAGCTGGTAATTTAAATAATAAAATAGCTTAACTGCTCTTAAAGCGTATGACTACTAGGCTTATGCACACATTTGATTGGCTTCATTGCTTTGCTAATTTGGTCATTAGGGGCAGTTGAGCAAGATTAGTGGGATTTTGAATTTTTTTTTTTGTTGATCAAATTAAAGTCATGCACAAGATAAAAATTAGAAACGACAAATGTAAAGCTAAGCTGCTAAATAATTGCTTAATTCGTGTAAGACTACGCTATTCATAATTGAGGTAGGTACATATATAATATGTATGATCATGTATTTAGTGTCGCTTATGGTTCGATGGAAATTACTTTCAGATCAGACTCAACCGAGAACTCACTCGATCGTGGCCAAGCAAGAGAAATCGCTACTCAGGCAATCTACCTACCTATCTGGAGCATTCTAGAGCATTCATAAGAACATATGTATGTATAACCTTAACATGAGCTTATTAAGGAATAACTTAAGAATCACCAGGGGAATGAATTGCCAAATAAATTCTGAGTTCGACATCACTATTGATCAGCGATCATAGCTTTCTTAGCTGAAAAATATTTCACTTGAATGATAATAACTTGTAATTGAAAATCGGTACCTTTTTAAAAAAAATAGTAGTTGCGTGAACGAAAGATCGCTTTTTATCGAAAGCTGAACCAATTTAGTAGGATAATTATAAAAATAGCTCTTTTCGCTTTTTTTAGGAATTTTATCATTTTTGTCTAAAAAAATCATTCACTTTGGTGGGCTAAAGATCACTTTGGATTCAGGATAAATACTTTTTAACGAAAAAATCATTAGCTTGGATGGCTATGAAATACGGTCTAAGCTGCAGATCATTTTTTGCTCAGGTATCGTGAAATTTTTTGCTAAAAAGTCACCAACTTCGATGACTATAAGATTATTTGTAAGCTGATGATCACTTTTTAGAAGGAAACAATGCCTTTTTGGTAAAAAAAATCACCAACTTCGATGATGGTGAAAAAGGTGTGCGGTGAGGATCACTTTTGATCAGGAATTGATACTTATTTAACTGAAAAATCATTACCTTCGGTGATTACAAAACTCGGTCTTAGCTGGAGATCACTTTTAATCACAGACCGATACTTTTTTGAGATTTCGTAGATAAATCATACTGACGGATAATGCTTTCGATTCGAATCATAGCAGAAATGTTATTTTGCGATCTTTGCTGAATTTTAGTTAATTTTGGATTTGCATTTTTCGATCATACTTGAATGACATTTTGAAACTTGGACTTTACGTTCAAAAATAATCGTTGGGCTATCGCCATTTTCAGATTTTGGTAATTATGGTTATAACATAATAATCGCAAAGGATCATTAAGAGCAAATATGAACGAATAAAAAAATTTTACTTCCAAAATAGCCATCAGATTTGTTCGAGAAAAATTTCAACTCAACTATTATTTTTATTATCGGAAAAAATAAATCCATTTTTAAATAAATCGATTAAATACATATCGCAGATGTTCTTCAAAAGTGTATTTACTAAAAACTTTCCGTTTGTCACATAACGCAAATAACTTTTTCTATGTTTTTTTTTGTAATCATACGATGAAATATTACTTCAGCTTTAAATGAAAGATTTGGAAAATCTGTGAACATTTTTAGCACATAACTTCAAAAGTTAAAAATTCGCAAAATTTAGTGTCGCGAATTATTGAATGATGAAAAACTTAATTACTTAGAATGAATTAAAATCTGAAAACAAATGGGTGAGCTAAAAATAAAAAAATTAATCCAGGGTCACAGTTCCACGGTAATGATCTTTGTAATAAAAAATTATGATTTAACTATTGAAATTGGATTTATATTTTTCTGATAAATTTTAACAGTTATTTCATGATTTTTATTTTTTCGATCATAACATGCCGTTGTTTTCAGATTAAATCTTTTAAATCATTAAGGACCTAAAACCTTCATAAGAACGCAGTATAAGTTATAACGGTTAAAATGCTCGAAAAAATATAAATCTAATTTGCGGTTACCACTGAAACTGAGAAAATTTAAAACCTAAATATTTTAAGAATGGCTTAGAAAATATTCTAAATCTAAAGTTTTTGCTCCTATAAATACAGATTAAAATAAGAAAAGTCTTGTCAAAACCCGGACAGTACTTTTCAAGAATAGCGCGTTCAAATATCTCGACTTTGCTTAATTCTATGTATAAATAAAAGTCACCGAAATAATAAAATTTAAATTTGACCGAAAAAATAAAGATCGAGAAATATCGGTCTTGCAGTGACCTAAACACAGAAATTTTGGTATTTAACGGTCATTTTTGTTCCCTGATTCAATAATTAAATTTTCTACTTTTTTAACATAAAGTCTAATTTTTCCTAAGAAACCATAATTGAAAAAACCCTCAACATCTTCTTCACAAAAAGCATTAACTCACTCACCTTATAGCCCACATTGCGTCCAAAACCGGTGTGACAGGATTTCTTGCCGCGCAGCTCCTTCATGCTGTTAATATTCGAATTTTTCTTCACCAAAATAATGCCCTCATAACGGAACTCGGCTGCAATGAAGGTATTGAATTGGCACAAACATTACACTTTTGTTGGTGAATAATGCACAACTATGTACATATTGTATTCACTACACTCAGAGAAATTTAGTGTCATAAATCAAATTCAAGCTTAATAAAATTCGGCTTTCAACACTTTAAATTAAAAAAAAACTGGTCTTAAATATATTTAAAATATTAATCTAATCACAGCTGAAAGTCAAATTTCCGTTTTAAGGAAAAATTCTTTAAATAAGAATTAAATTTGCCGCTTTATAATTTCAGGTATTACTGCACTTTTTTGGCCAAAAGTATTAACTTGGGCTTGATTTAAGTATCTATACATATAACGGCTTTTTTTCTGAGTACACCACTAATATTCAACCACTCACCATCCTTATCCTCCTTCGTGCGTATTTCCGAGATGACACGATAATCCTGATTCTTAGTATGATAAGCAACATACATATCCTCCGGTTCGCTGGCGAGCACATCAGCCTTACGTTGATTGATTTTGTCCAAGCAATCGATGCGATCACGTCCAGCGACACATTCCATTTTTATGCCAGCCTCAGAGGGATCCTTCAGCAGATCCAAGCAGTCTTTGTAGTATTTTTGAGGCACACACATGCGATCTATATACATATGTACATACATAAAGTTTTTAATTTTTATTTTAATTTTTTTCTTTTTTATTAGCAAAGAGTTTTTTAACTAAATATTCCTTTTATGTATGTGGCTTACAAATTTGTTCGTCAGCTTGCACCAACGCCAAACTAGCCACGCCCAATAAGGCTGTAGCCAAATAAACTGTTCTCGTAAAACCCATTTTAGCGCTGCCTATTCACTGATTCACCGCTAATACTCAACTGTTGAGTGCATCGCCAGCCAGTTTCTTTTTATAGGCAATGTGCGCGCTTTGTTTACATACATTTACCTACATATGGACATACCTACATAAATACATATGTACATATGTAGTTAGTTGGTTTCGAACGTCGTCGTTGTGGCTATGCGGGGTCCCCTACCCGGAGTGTTGTTGGACCGACCACAAGCTCGGGATTTACCAAAATGATTATTTTTCCTTTATATTTTGCAAAGGTTGATTTTTCAGCGCTTTAACCTGGCTTGGCGTAGCTGCTTGACGTTGCTTTGATTATGTAGTACATATGTATATGTATTATAATTTTTCTATAAATGTGCATTTGCGTTGCATTGTTGTTGCTGCAATTTGTTTATAATTTTTCTGCTAATTTTGCAATAATGCCTACTTGAAACCTCCAATGGTCATCGTAAATCGTTACATCGCCGCAGATAAGTAAATCTCTGCTGATGCTGATGCCGACGCATTGCCAAATGCTCTGCTCTTTGTTCTTAACCTCCGCGGGACAGCGGTTTCGCCTGGCCACTTAACTATATTGTTATTGTTGTTATTTTATGCATTTTGAATGTCATTATCTGCGTTCAACATTCAACTCAACACGGCGATCTGGAAAGGTACTCGTACACCTTTAATATATGTATAACATGCAAACCGGTTTGTTGTCTACATTTTCTATAAGTATACTTAAACTTTCATAGTTTTACCATACACTCGTTTTTCTAGAATTGCTATAAATTATGCAAAAAAGCATATACATATGTACATTTATTTATGTATGTATGTATGTATTCAAATGCATATGCACGCTCAAGTGCACGTACATAAATACCTACCTGCAGACATACATTATAGGTGGAAATATTTGTTGTTATTTACGTTTTCCTTTTTGCCGGCCGGCATCGCTGATCTTATAACAAATGGCCAAGCAACAGATGTGCATTGCTTTACAAAAGCAACAGTGGGACTAAGTGTTTTATAATTAGATATTATTTTTATAAAAGATAAATACATGGGAG